CGGGCATTCGTCTCTGTATATAGTAGAGAAAGCTATACTCTCAAACCCCTGAGAACCAATAGCTCGATAAATTTTAGAACGCCCATAAACAGTCGTAACAATAGTCGTAGCACCCTGTCAGTGGCAACAAGGCCCCGTTTCACAAAAGTGATATTTGTGCTACGACCATCGTTACTACGACACATCAACATTGACTTTGGATCGTCGGAGTGCTGAGATCACTTTGTGAACGAGACCCAAAGCTTCTATCATTGCTCGTAATACATTTACCATTATGCACGGCAATGGCATCTTCTCGAGGCAAGGGAGTTCACTGATTGTAAACGTCCAGTTTCTACCCTTGCCAAACCAAGTTGGAATTTCTGGGCTCGTTCGTAGCGCCACCAGTGGCTGTTGCGAGTTATGTCCCTTCTATATACCTACTATTGACCAATCAGATTCCACCTCTCATATGACTTGCATTTGCTTCAAACGAACAAAATGTTGACACCCAGTCAAGAAGATCTGATCTATAATCAAGATTTATATTCTTTTTTTTTTGGTAATAAAATGGGACTTACAACGCGAAGTGCATCAAATCATGTGAGCACCTTGATTAAAACATGAAGAGATTTGGAAAATATCTGTTGGCGGTACTCATGCTTCACAAATCCTGCAATGGACGAAATCTGCACGGCAGTTTATTTCGTTACGCGATTTCGTTTCGCGATTTTGATTGGACTAGGCATAGCCTCGTTAATCCAGCCAAAAAATAATTCTATAATTCCAGCCTCGTTCGGCAAAGATGGAAACTTGACTTTTATAGTCAGTTAACCCCCTCGACTCGGGAAGATGGCCAATGGTTGCTTCACCTACTTTAGAGTTGTTGATTCTTTAGACATATTTACGGTAATAACCGATATCATACAAGTGAGAAGTGCGAGAGCAGTCATTGTGAGTCCGAAATCAGCATACAACCGGAAGCGGTTAAAGTGACAACGCTCCTTCACAATGCCATGTGCCACCGAACATATGGTGTCTTGTATTTCTTTTCCATTTGTAAGAATTGAAAGCGACTCATTTTATAGTCAGTCTTAACTGTGCTTTTAGCATTAAACAAGGAGCATAATGGGCCAGTAGTCATCTAACGGTGTTTACCCTTTAGTGTAACGGTAAAACATCGTGTTACATTGCCCCTTAACAGACCTCTCACAGACAATCCCCCCGACTCAATATTGCGACACAAGGAGAAACGACGGACCGTATTGTCGGCCACGACACTACAAATCATTCTTAATGAATCGAGTATTAGGTATTGACAAATACTGTCTATTGTCTATCGACAGTACTGAACACACAGATGTATGTCGAGGGACACTTCCGACGAGGCTTGAAATAGTGTAGACCAGAATATGTAATTGGTAGACATGCAACACGTGACTGGTGTACAGTATTTATCGTTTTATTAAGACTGATTGATGTTGTATCAAGATTAGCCGAGGGATGTACATTTAAGGTTTAATCTATCCTACAGGGGCAATGTAAATCAGCCCTTCAGAGTGAGTGTATCATTTCCTTTGATAGCACTTAAACAAAATCTCCCCAAACCCTAGGGATGGAGTCTCCTATTTGAGATGCAGAGCTACCACAAAACAGGTGCGACTCACGCGCACGTACAATGTACTGTCTCTCGATGCAGCCGGACATTAGGCCAAGATAAATGTCTTCAGTTTCTGGCTATGTTCTTTCACTCGCTCAACCGCCTCCGTGGTCTAGTGGTAGAGCGTCCGCCCGGAGAGCGGAAGGTCCGGGGTTCGCTCCCCGGCCGCGTCATACCAAAAAGACGTTAAAATATGGTTCTTGTTGTTACCCTGTCTGGCGCTCGGCATTGGTGGGCTAAAACAAGACTGATCGGCTCGGAATCAGTATACTGTGTCTGAGTGGGGTATTCATGTTAAACTGCGGCATGGTATTTCAGTGAGCTAGCACTATAAATCGGCATCAGTCCGGACTAGTACAAGCAGTCACACACACACACGTGTATGCACGTCGCTATATAAGTGCAATAATCTTGGACGCAACGTTAAACCACATTTCACCTCACCTCTTTCACCCGCCCATGTAATCGATCTTGTTTCCATGTCAATTAGCAGTACGCCTTAACGCAATCTGCATCTTTGATAAACAATTATAAAATAACTTCTAGGCTCTGAACCGAACATGTATTATGAAGAAATAATTGCGGCCATAGCTGGGATAATTCAAACAAGTTTCAGCTCAAAAGGCCTTGTGGTTTTAGAGGAGATGTATTACACACTAGAAACACTTGATAAGTGAAGGTCCGAGATTGATGAAATATCAAAATGCTTGTATGCCAAAAAAATATTACATATTATTCTACACATCACATGGGTTAGAATAGATCTTCAGCAACCCATACTTCCCGTAAAAGGCGCATTTGCTTGTCCTAAGAGGCGACTAACGAGATCGGGTGGTCAGGCTCGCTGACTTGGTTGATGCATGTCATCATATCCCAATTGCGATTGGATTGTCTGGTCCGAGCTTGATTATTTACAGGCCGTCGTCATATAGCTGACATATTGCTGAGTGTGGCGTTAAACAACAAACAAACAAACAACATACTTACTACGAATAAAAAAAAAAATATTACATGAAGACATTGCTGAGTAATAATGGCGGCGAGGTTTATAGTCGGATAGAAGTTTGTTAGCTCTTTTCAGAGATACAAATTTTCAGTTCTATCTTTCACAGATGTTAAAAGGAATGTAAAAAACTGACTGACGGACGGACGGACGACAGACAACGCACCGCGACAGATGATCCCTTGACCTTCCACCAAGTCGTCCGTGTTGCACGTGCAAAACAGGAAGGTATCACACCATGTGCTGTGTTGACGCGTTCTCAAATTTGATTGACGAGTCCTTGCCACAAGCAGGTTGTTGAATGGAATTACTCGCGTACCCTTGATATTTCGAGGGGCACAATGCGGACACAACCGGCCCTCGAGATCTCATGAGCACTTGTAATTCCATTCAACATCGAGCAGCTCCTTTCAAGCGTCAGTAATTCCAGGAACATGCTACCTCGGTGGTGTGGAGTAAACAACTCCTTTCCTCATCATCGGGGTTAAACAATTCTTTTTTTGACAACAATTTTTCGAAAGACGAAAAAACAAGTAACTGTTATAATTACTTGGTTCACAACTGGATAAATGTCAAATCAGACTGCTGATAGTTAATAAGCGATGAAGACACGAGTCTTGATTTGAATGTTGCCTTTGTACGTCCAAATTCTGTGCTCTGAAGATACCAAAGCAAAACGTCAGCGCAAATACTGAAAAGGAACACACAATTATATCGCCTCAAATGAGGAAAATAGAAGAAAAAATGGGAATAACCCGTGAAGATCCGTGTTAGAACTGCTCTTCAGCAAACCCATGCTTGTCATAAGTGACGACTAACGGGGTCGGATGGTCAGGCTCGCTGACTTGGTTGATGCATGGACTCTTGAGTTATAAATGATAATGTCTACACACACGTGAAGATCCGGGTTAGAAAAGGTCTTCAGTAACCCATACTTGCCGAAAAAGGCGACTATGCTTGTCGAAAGAGGCGACTAACGTGATCGGGTGGTCAGACTCGCTGACTTGGTTGATGCATGTCATCGTATCCTAATTGCGTGAAACGATGCTTATGATGTCAATCACTGGATTGTCTGGTCCGGACTTGGTTATTTACAGACCGTCGTAATATAGCTCGGCTATTGCTGTGTGTGGCTTTAGACAACAACAAAAAAACAAATGAGAATAAGTGAGCTCAGGTTGTGGTCTACATGACATTTAACAGCAGGTTTGACCTGTAACGTCATATATCTTCAACCAAATGTTTGGTGTGCAGACACCTAGAGTGAAGAGTTACCTCAAGAAGTAATACCATAGTGCCAGCGGTGCCTAACAAGACAAAGCGACATGCCATATGGAAATAAGTGTTACATGGCCGTGCATAATTTTCCTGTCGGAGAGCAAAGACAAGATAACTAGCCCTTGTGGTCGAACAGGATTTCACCAATACTTGTTAGTAAGGGGGAGGGGGGGGGGGGGGGGGGGGGGGGAAAGGGGGAGGGGGGGTGGGGAGGGGGGGGGGGGTGGAGAGATTTTTGATGCACTAATGTACTGCATATAATGACCCTCCTCTAATGGTTGTCATAGTTTCCGCTGACCCTGCTCATGTCCTCATACATTGTTTTCACGATCTTCCCTGATTGAGTGAGTATGGTTTTACGCCGCTTTTAGCAATAGTCCAGCAATATCACAGCTGGGGACACCAGAAATGGGCTTCACACATTGTACCCATGTCGGGCATCGAACCCGGGTCTTCGGCGTGACGAGCGAACGCTGTAACCACTAGTCTATCCGACCGCCCCTCTTCCCTGATACAGACAAGTAGTAAGTGCACATTTGAAAAGGTCAATATCCCTCCCCAAATAGGAGGAACATCTTTTATAATCCTCCCCTGTCATGTTTTAGGTGACCCACCCTTACGGTCAAACTGTAAATCGGTATTTATAATGCGATATTTAATTATTCCAGCAAAGACCACTCGTACTTTTCGCATTAAATTCACGCTCGCGTTAATTTCAAGATTTACAGTAATTCACTAGGAATAATGACAAGGCTTTAACAGCATACATAGTTTACAATATAAGAAAAACCATTCACGCGAGAGTAATCATCTGTGTATGTTTTCGATTGATACAATGCTCTTGAAGATGGGAGGGTTTCTAAAATATGACAAATAGAAGCTCATCCAGCGATAATATAATATCTATATAGGTTTATCTGAACACGTTTCGAAAATAGCAAGAAAAAAACGGAAGGTGTCAAAAGCTCCGATATAAGGAAAATGGTATTCCCAACATGTACTCCTCCCGTTTGGATCCGAGGATGTAACGTTACCCTTGGATGTGCCAAATGTGGTTGTGTGTGAACAGACGGAAGTTACCTGAGGCAGACTGCACAGACGCACATCTGTGGTCGACGCATGTGTAGAAGCCATAACACGAGCACTCGCTGTTGTCTGAGCAGGACTTTGTCAGGATGGTGTCGCAGTCCTTCTGTAAACAGAACAGCAGGTTTATGATAGAGTGTCACTTTGAATTTATGCATGACTCGTTCATGTACCAGAGCTGTTCAAACAACCCATCCCCAAGCTAACCGGTTGGATTCCCCCAAATACCCCAATATATACTGAACCGCAAAAGAAACGTCCCCAAGTAACATTGCATGAAAAGTTGTCATTTAAATATCTGGGTAATTTTTGTCAACGTTTCTAAGATTTAACATTACCTTGTCCGGAAAAATGAAATGTGGTGATAAAAAGACAAAGCAGATGACAATAATACCGATCGCCCAAACGCATCACGGCAACGGCCATGGTAACCCGATGCACGTTCCGTTCAAATTGAAATGCATATGCGTTCTCCGATTTCTTGCCCTATAAAAATCTCCCCACATTCATTCGTTATTGAATTGCTACCACATGCCAATATTGACAAGAAATCAGCGACACCAAGCCCTTGGACGATTGCAAGCTGGACAAACCGCCTGGCAAGTAGCCAATGCATTTCAAGTCCACGTAAGGACCATATACAGGCTCCAGCAACGGTACCAGACCACCAACACTACAGATGACCGACCCCGTTGTGGAAGACCAAGGGTCACCACCCGAACGTCGGATTGTTCGATAGCATTTTAAAGATCGCTTTGTTACTGCTGCGGAAACTGCACGACAGACCATGGGGACACACCAGCAACACATTGGTGCGGACACCGTGTGTCGACGATTCACGAGCAGACACCTCCACTGTCTTCAGTGGGCAACACGGCAACAGCATTGGCGCCACCAGCAGTGGAGAAGAGTCCTCTTCTCAGACGAGAGCCGTTACTGTATCCCAAAAGCAGATGGCAGAGAGAGAGTCTGGCGACGCCGTTGGGAATGTTATTCGGATGCTTGTGTTGTTGAGAGAGACTCGTGGGGTGGAATAGGACTTGCATAGAGGGTCGACCCTGTGGTCTTCCATAACATCGGTCCAGGGAGAGGCAATGTGTTACAGCAGCTGGGTACATTGATCAAGTCTTGAGACCACACGCCATACCTCATTTGGCACGTCGCCGCAACCACGAGTTTCAGCATGATAATGCCAGTGCCCACACTGCGAGAGCAACAAGAGACTTCCTCCAGCTGAATGGTATCAGAACCATGCAGTGGCCTGCTCTCAGTCCCGATTTAAATCTCATTGAGCACCTTTGGGACGAGATTCAAAGACGGCTGAATGCGTCAGGCGTTCCTCAGAGTGTGGGCTCAAGTGCCTATGGCCTTCATCAACCGCCTCATCCATTCCATGTATCGACGTTGCACGGCAGTCATCAATGCACATGCCGATGTTGTAATATCGTAGATGGTTTTATGTCGAAGATTGTGTAATATCGTAGATGATGTTATTTAGTAGATATTGTTATGTCGTGGCTGCTCGTACTAGTCCGGAATAATGCCGGTTTTATAGTGCTAGCCCACTGAGATACCATGCCGCAGTTAACATGCATACCCCCCTCAGACACGTATACTGTCACCAAGTCGACCAGGTCTTGTTTTAGCCCGTTAATGATTTTAGTCCCTTTGGTATGACGAGGCCGAGAATCAAACCCCCGACCTTCCGCTCTCCGCGTGGACGCTCGGCATTAAGGGAATAAAAACAAGGCCTGGAGTTAGTATACTGTGTCATAGTATGGTATTCATGTTAAACCGCGGCATGGTATCTCCGTGGGCTAGCATCGGGATCAATCCAGACTAGTACAAGCATACAAACACACACGTACATGCACGTCGCTATATAAGATCAATATTCTTGAAGGCGACGCTAAACCCCATTGCACCTCACCCATGGGAGAGACTCCGCTACCACACAGAAGTGTGTCTACAGGAGAGGTGGTGAGGTGAGGTGAAATGGGGTTTAACGTCGCGCCCAAACTTATAAAGCGACGTGCATTTACGTGTGTATGTTTGTGTGGCTGCTTGTACTAGTCCGGACTGATGCCGATTTATAGTGCTAGCTCACTGAGATACCATGCCGCAGTTTAACATGAATACCCCACTCAGACACAGTATACTGACTCCGAACCGACCAGTCTTTGTTTTAGCCCCTTAATGCCGAACGCAAGACAGGGTAACAACAAGTACCATCTTTTAATGTCTTTTGGTATAACGCGGTCGGGGATCGAACCCCGGACCTTTCGCTCTCCGGGCGGACGCTCTACCACTAGACCACGGAGGCGGTCCTACAGGAAAGGGAGGCTCCACCATGAAATATACACATGTCTACAAGACATGTCTTCCAAAGGTACGCTTGTACAAGAGAGACTCCACTATCACACAGTGGTACTTGCGTGTTGATAGGTGAGACTCTTTTGTAAGTTTGTCACATCTTAACTGTAAAGATCGATACCACTAATCACGCACTAATTTAGGTGGGGGAGGCGTGTTTACCCATTCCAATGACTTATGAACCATTGCTGTTTCGCTAACAAGCCTGCATTTCAAATTAGCGGAACCATTCATTCCAATCGAAGGAGGATAGAAATAGAACGAGAGGGGCATGATTGGCTTTATTTTGCTCTGTAACTTCTCTCGCTGGTAATTGTTGGTCTTTTCGATAGGGTACATGTGTTCCGTGTCGTATTGATTGGAGTCTTAACCACACATTAACATTTCCCCCAGACAATTCAATTACTGTCCAATAAGACACAGGACCTATTAGGCGAGGATGCGAACGTCTTTGTAACACATTCAGTTTAATTAATCTTTATTTAATGTGTTGCCTCCAACACGACTTATCAAATACGCAAACTTATCATATAAAAGACAGAAAAAAGTGCCCTGTGATATTGTAACTCAAAGAATAGTAACAGCAGTATTGATTTTTAGAGCTATCTGTACACATGGACCAAATCTAACCCTTGCCCTTGAACGATCACGAAGAATGCAGTGCAGAGTTGCCCCCATTAACCATGCCAGGATTTGCTTGTCATGGGTTCAACTCCCGTGTTAGTTCAGATTATGATCCTCAGTCTGTCTGGTACTCCGACTTGTGATCTGAGTTTTATACTAAAGTATTAAACGTCTACGACCTACGCATTGTGTTTGACATTGCTTTTTAATTTAACTTTTTTATTGATGACATGCTTTTAGATGTGTAAAACTTGATCTCGTCGCCCTATAGCTGAAATAATGCCGATGCAACGTTAAATTCTCACTCACTTACTCACTCTACGACCTACATCGGGACGTTATGGATACACCTCCGATGGTATCACACGTCATACCTTCCACAACAGGCGAACGCATTATCCACTGGGCCATCTCAGCGTCCCCACAAACCGTTAAGAAGACACCATCATGAGGTTATGTATTTCATCTTGATAGGATTGTTGTTTGCCACTTGACCGAATTTGGGTTCCATAAAAGTTGACACGACCTTAATTGGTGGTAGCCTGGGAACCTGACCCGACGATCTCAGCACGACATGCATGGATCAATGCTCAGATTATCAATGTCCCAGACCAATGTTCAGATTTCCAATGATTCGGGTCAGTGACAAGATCATTGTTCAGATTGCCATTGAAATGGCTCATTAACAGGATCAATGTTCCGATTGCCATTGAAATGGATCAGTGACAAGATCATTGTTCAGATTGCCATTGAAATGGCTCATTGACAGGATCAATGTTCCGATTGCAATTGAAATGGATCAGAGACAGGGATTCATGTTTGGACTGCCTATGTCTTGGATCAGCGACATAATTCAGTGTTCAGATTGCCAATGTCCTTTATCAATTTCTGCAGGCTGCCGTTCCTGGCCGCACTGCTTCTGACCGTGACCCAAGACCGTGACCTCAGTGTTATTGGAATGTCCATCCCTATGTCAGTGACCTGCATATTCAGTGTTTTCTTGTTGTCGTTGATTGTTGAATCCCATCCACTTAGCGAAGGTTTGGTTAGCAGGGACGTGAATATATGGATGTCTCACGTCACACTAACATCCCATGTACCATAATATACTTGTTCTAGCAACCCACTCAATGCATCAGAGACAGGTTCGTCATTTGACCATTCATGCTTCCACTGAACTGGCTAGTTGTCCTGCCACACATTTTATAATCTTAAGTCTTATAATTAATACATCGTATTTAAGGAGAATGTTTGTTTGTTGTTTAATGCCGCACTCCATCTCTTTGACGGCGGCATGTAAATAATCTAGTCTGGACCAAGTCTGACCACGTGACCTATTCGGGCGCCTCTTACGACAAGTATCGATTGTAAGGGACCTATAATTCTAACCCGGAATCCTCACAAGGGGTTGAAAGAATGTGTATGTTGTTCTTTCTTTTTTGTAACATGTATTCATTACGATGGAAGCTATATCACCGTGCTTACGTACCGTTTCTGCTGAGAATGAACCTCCTCCGATCGTTCCGAAGCCATCACTGCCAGCAGCCGGATTTCCCCAAGTCCCGGATGACGACTGGGCCGCCGAAGAGGCCCCCACAGCTCCGAACCCATCACCTCCCCAGCTCCCAGAGTCGGACCAGGAAGTGTCCCCCATGGACCCAGCGTCAGAAGAGAAGGAGCCTGTCCCAAACCCAGTCGATGTCTTTGCTGCTGTGTCAGCCTCGTTTTTAAGAGTTTCGGATCCTGTTTGACGTATTGGTAAAAAATCATTTGAAAATCCACCGGCTGGCTGTAAATCAAATCCATCCTCGGCTATTGTTCCAAATCCGACGTTATCAAATCCGGATTGCGTTAATTCCTTGACCTTTTTCTTTTGAGAAGTGGATGGTTTCTTGGGTGTGTGAACCATTCCGAACGAATCCTGTACTGAGCCGATACCTCCAAAATGAGACTTGTGTTTCCGAGTCTGTAACGTACTTACTTTTCTGAACTTCTCAGCGGAGAACAGCCTGTTGTCCATCGCGTTCACTGACAACGATGAACCGTACGTTGTAGAGGGGGCGTTAGTTTTCCATACATTTTTGCTTAATATGCTGTTCATCTGCTTTTTCCTATTATACTTGTCCAGCAGTTTGCGGTATTTAGACACATAGGCACTCCTTTTTCCGCTAAACAAATTCCTGCTCCTGCCAAGTACATTAGAAATATCCAATGTAAGGTGACTTCCTTCTCCCTCCTTCCGCTTCCGTCGCTTCCACATATTGTACGGGTACCATTTTGGGACTGACTGGTGCCACCTTTGGGACACCATATGGCTTTCGACGGGGGCAGTCTGTGAACGAGTCTGGCTAGGACTATGCCATGCAAAGCACGTCACCGTGGATATTTCTAGGTATAAAAGTTGTAGCATAATACACAGTCCTAGCTGGGACCAGGTGTGTTGATATATATCCATGTTTACAAGTTGGTGTGGCGGTTCCTTCTGTAGCTGGAAAGAGATAAAAATCCTATAGATGTCGAGTCAATGCAATGCAACACACAGATTTACTACTTATGAAATAATGTTAAAGACTGCTTAAATTCTTGAAGACAAACCTGGCAATCTGAAAGGACCTTTAGATGGCAAACCATGTTCAGATGTTTAAAAATGGGTGGTTATATATTCAGCATTTTGTCCTGGTTAAGATGCTCAATAAGACTGGTGCTCATGTGACCTTTTTAACTGCAAACTAATATAACGTTTAGTAGAAAAAAGCATATTGATGGTGATGTCAAAAGGCGTGATTGAGATGTTCTGAGTCTCACATAGGGAGACTTGACATAAAGACATTAAAATGATATGTGTTTCAAAGTAATCCCTTCCCACATCGATACACTTTTGCCGATGATGTTATAGGTATTTTATCTTAGTTTCGTAGAAATCATTTTCTTAGCTCTTCAAAACGTTCTCAACAGATGCTATGATGTCATCGTTCGATTCAAAATGGGTTCGGCTAGACCTTTCTTCATGCTTTGGACCAGGTGGTTGACGGAGCCGATCAGGAGAATAAGGTGGAGACTGAAGGAGTTTAAAGCCACACCCGTGGATTGTGGCCTTGGCAATTACTGATGTTTCCACTAACGCATTGCCCGGGTGGAAAAGCAATCGTTTTCTAAACGTCTCTGAGTCTTAATTTCACCCCGTGATATTCTCAAAAGTGCACATGATATGCTCTGGTTATTGTCTGAACAGCTGGACAAAAGACCGCCATGATGACACCCTCGGCATCCAAGAACACAGAGGCCAGAGCTAGATGTCACGTGACACATTGTGCCTGCTGCGCTTTTGATCAGATGTCAGAAGCCTTGGAACCCAAAGATCTGATATATTCTTCTAAAGTTTCTGTTATAATGGAATGTACTCACTCCTGTGAAGGGCCTACAGAAATAGAAAAATGGCGCTCAGCGTGTTAACTCCACAGAAGTGCTTATGTGACGTGTTAGCTGCAAAGTAGTGCATATATAGCTTGTTAACTCCACAGTAGTGCTTATGTGACGTGTTAGCTGCAAAGTAGTGCTTATATAGCGTGTTAACTCCACAGTAGTGCTTATGTGACGTGTAAGCTGCAAAGTAGTGCATATATAGCTTGTTAACTCCACAGTAGTGCTTATGTGACGTGTTAGCTGCAACGTAGTGCTTATATAGCGTGTTAACTCCACAGAAGTGCTTATGTGACGTGTTAGCTGCAAAATAGTGCATATATAGCTTGTTAACTCCACAGTATTGCTTATGTGACGTGTTAGCTGCAAAATAGTGCATATATAGCTTGTTAATTCCACAGTAGTGCTTATGTGACGTGTTAGCTGGAAAGTAGTGCTTATATAGTGTGTTAACTCCACAGTAGTGTTTATGTGACGTGTTAGCTGCAAAATAGTGCATATATAGCTTGTTAACTCCACAGTAGTGCTTATGTGACGTGTAAGCTGCAACGTAGTGCTTATATAGCGTGTTAACTCAACAGTAGTGCTTATTTTACGTGTTAGCTGTTCAATAGTGCTAAGGTGACATGTTAGCTTTTCAATAGTGCTAATGTGACTTGTTAGCTGTTCAATAGTGCTAATGTGACGTGTTAGCTGTTCAATAGTGCCAATGTGACGTGTTAGCTGTTCAATAGTGTTCATATGATGTGTTAACTGTGCTCATGTGATGTACTAACGTTGAGATGAAAAGTAATGTGATGTGTTCAGTAGTACTCATGTGACATGTTAGCTACATAGAAGGGCTCATTAGGGGCTTACCAGGTGAGAATCATGTTGTGCGGGGCGGTGGGTGGTGTGGAGGGTGGGAGATGTGATTTTGTTGAAAAAAATATCTGTTCCGAAAATGCTAAAAAAAATAATTTGTCATCCGGTTCTACCAAAAAATCGTAATTGTTCGCGAAGCTCTGCAAAATAGTATTATTGTAAAAATAATTGTATGTCTTCTCCGCTCAGAGAAAACATTGTATGTTTTGAAACCCCAAACATCACCCCACCCCACCCCACCCCACCCAACCGCACCCCACCCGACCCCACCCCACCCCAACCTCACCAATACGCCCTTTTGATGAACGATTTGTCCGTGTCTCCTTGTATCTGGTTCACGGCTGAAGGTACGGTGACCTTGTCAATGAGCACGTCAGTGTCAGAACAGAAGTCATGTTGAAATACAACATTACTACGTCTAAAGGGATTTATTAACCCAGATGGAAAGGGTTTCATTGTGGATATTCAAACATTGACTCTATACCGACACAAAGGGGATCATCATACATCTAATTCCAACACTCACTTTCACGTATTTCCGTCCCAGCTTCAGAAACGTCTTCATTCACTAATTACATTATTTTCAGCTCTTACTTTTTACAACATGCCACGTAGTTTCATTAAAAAAAGACTGATGATAACATTGTTGAGTGCATCTGTTTGCTGATACTTCCAGTGTTGCAGTTCTCACAGCTGACAGCCGCTCGCTGCAGCAAAAGGAAATGAGATAATGCGCCCCCTTCAGCTGGACGCTCTCACCTGAATGATTGCAGTAGAGCACTACATGGCGGTTACAGTTTAAAGCTTTGAAAACAATGCAAAAACACTCTTGTATCAAACTGACAAATGTTGGCATTTCCATTTACTGCTTCTGTTTCTACAATTCATTGTGGTTAGTTTCTGTAAACCTGTAATTTCAATGCGATATCGGAAGAATTAAAGTGAAACAAATGAGCACGGATGTCGAGTGAATGAATGCGCTGGGTTTGACACCGCTCTTAACAGTATTCCAGTTATACCACGGCATGTCAACCTTATGTGGGAAGGAAGCCCGAAGTGATGCATGCGCAGGTCTAGACGTTTACCATGTCGGTGAAACCTACGAGCTGTGGTGCTGACAATATGTATCGTGATCAGAACGTACTGGGAACCCACCACAGGATTCTGGTACGTCAAAGGGACGCAACTCAGCACATCCATAAGTATGGAACTTATCTGAACCAGTCGATCCTGTCTTTTTATTGTAACGGCATGTCATTTGTACAACCGTCTCCTCACCCCACGATTGGTTTTGGAAGCAATGGTTAGCACCATGGCAACCGTGGTTGTCCGAAGAACCGGTTCAACTTCAACCGGTATATCTGTTGATACCGCGGATACAGCTTCAGTTCTGCCGAAACGAACTTTGCTCATTCACCGACGCTTCGATGCAAGTCTTGCACCCTCTTCACGTGTTCAAGTGAATAATTGACATGCCTTTGCAAGTGTTTGTGATGGATACATCGGTGGTGATGGGTACAATCAGCTTGTGTGATGGGTACGAACACCTGGTACCATCACTCTTTCATAGTGATTCAGATATACTTATGATAAAGTCGGAATATTACAATAGACTGTTAACACTGATTTCTATACTCATAGAAAGAGTTTTGTCGTTGTTTTTTTTATAAAAGTGACGCTTAGGTGACGTCACTGTGTGACTTCCACTGGATATTTGTCGACCCTGTAAATTTTAGCAAGCCGACATTGGAACCAACGATCACACGTTTCTGGCACGCCTAAGGGGCGCAACTCTCCACAATGGTTGCGTCGCCTTATACAAGTGAGCTCCACGTGCCTCGCAAGTGCAGCTGCAGGTACTCAAATTAGACGTTTTCTTTCTTTTTTCTTCTTCACTATCTTTTGTTACACAGATGCGAGGACAATGATATTTCTAGTTTTTTTCGGCTGTGGGAGAGAGTATAAAACGCTACATGAATGGAATTAGGGCAAAGTGCCTTCGAACATGAAAAGCCAAACTTAAAAATAAAAAATTGTCTGTACACTTTTACCGAGTGTCCAATGTGTGAACAACGCTGCAGAAAGTCGTGACCAATCGTGCACAAAAAAAAAGAAGAAAAAAGTAAAATATTGGTACATGAAAACCTATCGATCGCCAACTTTAAGCAATTATGCTGTTCTGTTAGCTGTTGATGAATAAACAAAGTTAGCCCTCTCACTCATTTCCTTTATTTTCTTCAGTAACGTGTATGCGCACCATAAATTAAGTTATGATGAACAAAACGTGTACACCGTACGGTAAGCAACCACAACAGCTTTTAAGGTCACGTTAACGTACAATAACGTACGACAGATTAGTCTTTGCTGAGAGAATTATATTATTAACGGATCTTTAGTTGGGATTTTGGGGTGGAACAGGTCCGCAGTACACCATGCTGGTGTGAACTAACTGACAATGAGGATCGGATGGTTACAAAGTGTGTCCATCCAATCAACCACTGGTAACTCCATTACAAAAGGGCCGCTGTACACCATGCTGGTGTGAACTAACTGACAATGAGGATCGGATGGTTACAAAGTGTGTCCATCCAATCAACCACTGGTAACTCCATTACAAAAGGGCCGCAGTACACCATGCTGGTGTGAACTAACTGACAATGAGGATCGGATGGTTACAAAGTGTGTCCATCCAAACAACCACTGGTAACTCCATTACAAAAGGGCCGCTGTACACCATGCTGGTGTGAACTAACTGACAATGAGGATCGGATGGTTACAAAGTGTGTCCATCCAATCAACCACTGGTAACTCCATTACAAAAGGGCCGCTGTACACCATGCTGGTGTGAACTAACTGACAATGAGGATCGGATGGTTACAAAGTGTGTCCATCCAATCAACCACTGGTAACTCCATTACAAAAGGGCCGCTGTACACCATGCTGGTGTGAACTAACTGACAATGAGGATCGGATGGTTACAAAGTGTGTCCATCCAATCAACCACTGGTTACTCCATTACAAAAGGGCCGCTGTACACCATGCTGGTGTGAACTAACTGACAATGAGGATCGGATGGTTACAAAGTGTGTCCATCCAATCAACCACTGGTAACTCCATTACAAAAGGGCCGCTGTACACCACGCTGGTGTGAACTAACTGACAATGAGGATCGGATGGTTACAAAGTGTGTCCATCCAATCAACC